TTTTGTTAATTTATTGACGTTTGCATTCCTGCAAAGGCTGCGAAACGTCAAACCTAAGAACACAAACTACAAATAAGTTAAGACACGGTTTAAAACCTTGTTTAGTCAATTTTGTATGTCTTTTTTTTCCAAAACTCTCTAACATTTTTGTGGTAATAAGGTATTTTTTCATAATGATTCGCGGAGCTCATTAAAGAAATACAATTTCTACAATACTATGTATTCTCAAGTAGGTGTTTACAACACATACACGTATAAAAAGTTTCAAAAATAATTAAGAAATTTGACACGGCCGTTCTGGTCTCGGTAGCATAATTGGTTAGTGCGTCCAGGCGGACAGGAAGGATAGCGGAAGGTGCAGGTTCCAATTCTGTCTAATGTTAGGATCAAGAGGATTTTATTCTATTAAAAAATACTAGCAAACCAGTGAACCAAATGTTCACCAAAACCTGATTTCTCGAAAACCGGAAGTGCTACGTTACTCAAATCCGGTTTGTAGTCTTATCAGACTATTCTTAACTTATAACTTAAATATTCTCTTTATATATCTCTTACGGTTTGGCCGCTGAAACAGCACCACAGACAGACGGACTTGTCTAATAGATAAGAGATTGTAAAGTTTTACTGACATTTTGACTGATGTTTTCATTTGACATAGTGGGTTACCTACAATGCGAAGAAATGGCGCTGCCTTGCACCTTAAGGCTAGGAAAATTTCAACGCGGCCATCAGGGCCGTGTTAGCCTAATTGGTCAGTGCATTCGCCCGGATTGCGAAGGGTGCGGTTCGAGTCCCGTCCGCTGCCTGCTCCGCGTGGATATTTTTTTTCTCAGTAAAACTTTTCTGTAGATTTAAACATCCTAGCAGTTAAATGCTTAAAAAAAACACAAAAACACAAATATTGTTAAGTTTTATAAATTAATCAATTTAATGCTTAAAATGACAAAGACTTCTCTCTATACATATCGCTTAATTGACGACTTACGTTTCAGCCGGTATCAACGACGTTTCACGCGTCATCGCATCAGCCAGCCCTTCAATACTCCTCTAGAATGAATAAGCGATTTGTTTCTAGTTTGTAACTTTTTGTAGTTGGCTTGGCAACCCTGCGTCCAGTGACCTCTGGTGACGCTCCCGTGAGTCAGGTGTGCACTCACCGCTGTGGCACTACTCATTTCTAAACGCGACCGCCACATCATTCTCATGATTCTCCATCCTTAAAATTAATAGTTTTGAAATTGCCATATTGCAGGGCATCCCAGCCAACCCCCTATCGGAGGAGGCTAGTGTACTTTGCAATATGGTAGCAAAAATTTTATGTAATAACTAGATGTCCCAGCGAACTTCGTACCGCCATAAAAAATAGGGGTTGGCGGTAGAAAGGTGAAACTTTAGGGTTGTATGTATTTTTGTATGGTGTATCATAAAAAAATAAAAATAAAAAATATCTAAAATTGAAAAAAAATAATTTAGGGGTGGATTACCCTTAACATTTGGGGGGTGAAAAATAGATGTTGTCCGATTCTCAGACCTACCCAATATGCACACAAAATTTCATGAGAATCGGGAAAGCCGTTTCGGAGGAGTTTAACCACAAACACCGCGACACGAGAATTTTATATATTAGATTAAGTAATTAAGTGATTTTAAGAAAATTGTATGGTCAGGTTACTATAGGGCTGGTATGGACATTTTGGTCCAACAGTACCTAAAACAAAAAAAAACATTCTCATGCGACCGGGCAACGTGAAGTTTGTACTAGAAACTTTCAGAAGTTCAAATTATCTTAAATATAAATTTTTAAATACACAGTAATGCAATAGTCACATCAATAGGGGTGATGACGGAGTACAGTAAACGAAATTCTATTTAGTCCGTCAGTTAGATGATCAAAAAATAATGGACACGTATTTTTTCTTTGGGCAATCAACCAAAAAATGACAAAGTTATAGCGCGTCAAAGTTTGGGAGTAGGGGCTCGTGACGTCACTTTTTAGTGAATTTTCACTTAAAAGTGTACTAAAACGTGACGTCATGCGACTTTTCAAATCAATATATCTCTGCAATGTTTATATTAATTGAAAAAAGAAAAAATAGGTGTCCAAAAAAGTAAATCATAATCAATCCGTAAATGGAATGCTCTGCCCGCTCACGTGTTCCCTCCCTCTTACAACCTGGGATCCTTGAAAAGAGGCGTGAAGAAGCAACATGCAGGCCGGTAGGGTGAGGATGGCTGGTGTGGCAGGTAGAACTGCTTTATCAGCTATCTTCGCGTCTGGACTTCACCTTCACTTAACATTAGGTGGGGTGGAGTCATTTGTCGGACCTATCTATAAAAAAATAAATAAAAATAAACTGGTATATTTATACAAAACAGATTATTTGACATGGACGTGGTGTCGTATTACGAACGCGGTTAGGGCCGTGCGATGCGGTGCGAGCCGCGTAACCAAGTAGTGTCCGCCGCCGCTGGTCGCTCGTCCCCTTGGTAGTGGTCCCTCCTCCCGCACGTCACCTCCTGTGCGTAAGACTGGTCGGTGACAAAAGGGAAAGATGGGATTAGGGAAAGTGATTTTTTTTAATCCTCCTAGGCGGGGGAGCAATCAAAAAAAGGTGTGAAATCCTCATGGATACCTTACAGCCGGCTGCAAGGTTATGTCAGACTCCTACTGACTAAAACACACCCGTAGTTTATGCTTATGGCCTGAAGGGCCTTACAAGCTTCATCTGAAGCGATTATCCCTTGAGAGGGGGATAATGCAGCCTGAGAGGGGGATAATGCAGAGGGAAAGTGAGTCACTCTGCATATTATGTAGCAGCACTCGCTCTTCATTTGCGTAGCATCACTGGGTAATGGGCTATTTGAAAAGTTTTTGACAACGTTCGTACGTTATTTATTAGTATACAGTTCCCATGGGGTTGTGACATGGAGGGAAAGTATATTAAATATTGAAGATAAGATATTTTACTGAAAGAAGACATCATTTTATTTGTTCAGGAAAATTTCATCTTTCTTTTCCGTACTTCCAACAGCTAATTTTATCAAATGATAAAGTGAGCAGCCAAACACAGGATAACATACACTTAATAAAACAGGATTTCCTTACTATGAGTAGGTACGAAATATAATAAAATGATCCTTTTTTATTGTAGTTTGTGTTCAATCATTAAAAAAAGGGAAATTTCGTGATATTTTTCTTTCAAATAAAATGCTATGTTATTTTAGATAAATAATCCTCATGATAAACCCTTTCAACGGTTATCATAAAATACATGTGTTTTTTTCTAATTTCACGAGTTTGATTCCCACTTTTGGCAGGCGAGATTTTAAAAACTGCAATTGCAGTTCTACTGATTATTAAAAATAAAATGATGTATTCTTTCATCAAAATATCCTATCTTCAATATTTAATATACTTTCCCTCCGTGTGACAAACCCGTGGGACACCCTGTATATATGGGCTGCTGTTGTCCGAAATAAATAATTTTTAAATTTTAATTTAATTTTAATAGTGGCTTCATAAAAAGTGGATACGTATAAATACGTTATATACATTGTAAATTTACAATTCTGTTGCGTATATAAAACAAAAAAATATGATTTCAAATATGCCGCAGAAACGTTACTCTAGCAAATATGGCAGGTGACGTCATACGGCTCTCATTAAAATGTCAAACATTACAAAGTAATATCACTTCGACAGCATTTTTACAAGCAGGTGACGTCGTTTTAGATTTTGCAATAGATCAAAAAATATATTGCTATTTCTTGATTTTTAGTAATATTATCAACTATTTTTTTGTAAGAATAGTGAAATTGCTGCCAATATTCCAGATAAATATACATGCCAAAATAGGTACTTTATTTGTCATACTGTCAAATAGCCCATTGTACGAGTTTGAGATTTTTTTTCCTTGGTTACATTTTTATTGACATAGTGAATAGTTTAACCGCAAAATATATACAGGTATGTTCATTTAACTAAAGGACAAATAGTAAGATATTTATAACTAAAAACCTATTAAAATATATAATAATTAAAATACATTATTAAAAGGAGTCTCTTTAGGCAAGGTTCCAAAGATACTGGCAGCGTTCCCCCTTTGAATAGCTAGACTAATTCTTTGTCCGAGGCAGCTGCCAGCTCATCGGTCTCCTGTGAGGTCGACTAACCTTTTTGCTATTTCCTTAAAAATCCTTAGAGTTTTAGATTGTTTGTCAGTCACCTTTACGTCGCCGATGGTGAGTGTCGCGTGTTGCTCACTGCAACCTATGCAAAGCATCGCTAAGTACTTATCAGTTTTGATGACGCGTGCTTCTATAGTAATCTCTGTTTTATCACCGAACTCATTGGATTTAAATCATAGGAAACTTTCGTTTGGAACATCTTTGAATTTTTCTGTAGTATTACTGCCAGTGTTGTGCACTTAAGGGAGTGAAATGAAAACAATGGCGTCATAATTGTTGTGAAATCGTAGATCTGGGGTTTCAGCGACTCATTCATTGAGCAACCCTTTCTAAAGCTTTGGTGATGTCAAGGCAGGTATAATAGTCAATGAATGGTTCATAGTTTACCCTAGTGAGTCACAGATGATTCACTGTTTTATATGCTATTACATCGATTATCTCGCGAAGACTCGTGGACGTGAGTTTTCGTGCGAAAATCTGACCGTAGCAATATTTCTTCCACACCTGACCGACGAAGCTTCGGGTGGCTTTGGAAAGTTGAATCAGTTCTGTCGTAACGAAGGCTGCGCGTCTGCAGACGCTAGACGAAAGCTTAACTGTCGATAATTTGACACGCCAAAACAGGTCTTATAAAACGATAAATTTGTATGTGCAGCTGAAGGCAAAGTTCGAACTCAATTTTTAGCGTAGTCCTGTACTAAATCCACCCGAAGCTTCTTTACGCAGATGTGGGATAGGAATCTGAATGTAAATATCGGAACAGGTTGAGTTGAAGCTGTTGCGTGTCGTTGCGCAGATGTGAGGCGCGTGGCATGTGGGGCGCGCAGGCGGGGTGGTGGTGCGGCGCGCTGGCGGCCGCCGCGCTGCTGCTGCTGTTGCGTCTGCATCGCCGCTGCGGACGGCACAAGCCAACGCCGCCGGTCTGTGGCCACCAGGTCAGTTAGCTGGAGAACCATGACAAGGACATGACAGACGCATATCTTTGTGGATGACATGCTATCTTGTTAGGAGACAACTGTAGTGGTTTAGATCAGGAGAGGTGGCGCCACGCTGCTGCTGCTGCTGTTGCTGCTGTTGCGTCTGCATCGCCGCTGCGGACGGCACAAGCCAACGCCGCCGGTCTGTGGCCACCAGGTCAGTTAGCTGGAGAACGATGACAACGACCTAACAGACGCATATCTTTGTGGATGACGTGCTGTCTTGTCAGGAGCCAACTGCAGTGGTTTAGATCAGGAGAGGTGGCGTCACGCTGCTGCTGCTACTGCGTCTGCATCGCCGCTGCGGACGGCACAAGCCAACGCCGCCGGTCTGTGGCCACCAGGTCAGTTAGCTGGTTAGCTGGAGAACGATGACAACGACTTAACAGACGCATATCTTTGTGGATGACATGCTGTCTTGTCAGGAGCCAACTGCAGTGGTTTAGATCAGGAGAGGTGGCGTCACGCTGCTGCTGCTACTGCGTCTGCATCGCCGCTGCGGACGGCACAAGCCATCGCCGAAGGTATGTGGCCACCAGGTCAGTTAGCTGGTGAACGATGACAATGACCTAACAGACGCATATCTTTGTGGATGACATGCTGTTTTGTCAGGAGCCAACTGCAGTGGTTTAGATCAGGAGAGGTGGCGTCACGCTGCTGCTACTGCGTCTGCATCGCCGCTGCGGACGGCACAAGCCGACGCCGCCGGTCTGTGGCCACCAGGTCAGTTAGCTGGAGAACGATGACAACGACCTAACAGACGCATATCTTTGTGGATGACATGCTGTCTTGTCAGGAGCCAACTGCAGTGGTTTAGATCAGGAGAGGTGGCGTAACGCTGCTGCTGCTACTGCGTCTGCATCGCCGCTGCGGACGGCACAAACCATCGCCGAAGGTGGCCACCAGGTTAGTAAGCTGAAGAACTAAGAACCAGACGCATGTTTTGGCGGATGACATCCTATATTGTTAGGAGACAGCCGGAGTGGTTTAGATCAGGAGAGGTGGCGCCGCGCTGCTGCTGCTGCACCGCCGCTGCGGACGCCAAAAGCAAACGCAGGTCAGGGAGCTAGTTACATCCGTTGACTCAACTCATAACACCAAGTCATTATTACATGCCTTTTGATTAATTTCCAATATTCTACTTTCGTGCTATTTGATAGATTTGCTATTGATAATTTGTAATCGGTGATAAAACATTTGATGTTATTTTGTTTTCCAGGTGCACATAGTCCGTAGCCCGCCGCTGCGGCCCCCTCCCCCCCGCGGGCCGCCCCCGCCCCCGCCCCCGCCCCCACCCGCGCGCGCCCCCCTCCCGCCGCCCCCCGCCCCGCCCCCACCCGTGCGTGACTCCACGCAGAACACTATCGCCACTACAACTACCGCACCGACGACCACCACGGAGACCGTGACCGATACCACTGCAACATCCACCATTACCGACCCCCAACCATCTTCGTCCACAGATGCGAATTCCGAATTCAAAGGCATCCCTAAATTACCTTTGCCGGAACAGTGGATGCATAAACGATCGTTGGACTGCAAATATTCCGCGACGATCCCCCGTCCGTTGGCGCAAATCGTCAACGAATTAGGCTCCGAGTTGACGCAAGAATCGCGCGCGAAAAAGTATAGCGCTACTCGGTCCCCGTCGTTGGAAAAAGACGACAAATCCCCCTTCTTAGGCGGCGCGAAGTCTGATAGGGAAGTGTTCGGTTTCGAACCGGACTCGGTTGAAAAACTGGCGGGCGAGAGAGAAGATATGAGCGGGATGACCTCCCCGAAAGACGTTGGGGAGAGAGGCCAGGACTCGCCTGGAAACCTCAGGAGATTCAGATCTGTGAGCACGAGACTCAATATGTGTAGCGTGAACGAAAATCCGCATATGGAAGGCCATCAGGAGAGATTAGAAATGCAGAACTCTCCGAGGATTTTAGAATGCAGCTCTGCTAAGGAGAAGTCTACCGCTCCTAAGTTTGATTTCTCACCGAAACTTCTCGCTGACAGTTTGAGTTCCCCTCGTTTCTTTACTCCACCGGAGACAGTATCACCTGCTTTCTTCGCCGAACCGTCCCCTAGATCTGTTTACTATGACTCTGTCAGATCCCCGAAATTCTTTGCCGAAACGCCGCGCGATGCGGCTGTAGAAGTGCCACAGTCCCCGAGAACTTTAGGCGATAATTTGAACAGAAGTAACGGCTTCGAGAAGCCGAGTTCGCCTCGAGTATTAAGCGCTAAACCCAGCCCCAAAATCCATAGTTGTAACAAAGAAAATTATTTCACATTCGAACCTGTGAGCGTCGCCGAAGATTTGTCGAGAGCTTCGCCGCGCCCTAGGAAATATGGAGGAAGGAATTCCATTGAGAGGGAAAGATTCACGCCGCCAGCTGACAAGGAAGTGAAAAAGTACAGGCGACATAACAGCTGCGACACCAACTACAAAAACTTAGAGCTCAACATAACGACGTGCGATGATAACAAAGCGAACGAGGACAAAACCGAACTTATAGAAAAAGACGTGGTTGACTGCTGTGCCAAAATCGACTCTTTACACGTAGACACAAAGTGTGAAGACAAAAACGAATTAACGCCGACTCATTCGACGAACACCGCGCAAGCGCGACGACAAAGATTAAAGTCCATCTCCCTGGACTCTGATAATGCTAAGATAATAGAACAGAACTTAGGTTTACCGATAGCTAAGCAAATGAAGGACCAAATGAACGAAGCGTACAAAAATCAGGACGTTAGCTCTTCGTACGAGAGTGTGGAAAGGAGAGATGAGTATCAGAAAACTCCTTCAAGAGAGAGGCCTGTGTTCAAATTCGAAGATGAGAAAAAAGATAAACCATGCGATGAAGAGGAGCCAAAATCGCCTGACTTGAAACAAAAGAAGAGCTTACGTCAAAGTTCCGACACCCAGTCATTCATAGACATGCCCAGGTTTTCACCGAAAGAGTTCGAAATAACAGTGACCTCTGAGGAGGGTGCGACGACAGCCGCAGAGACTCAGACCAGAAAGAAAGGGAAGAATTTGCGAAACCTCACGATAGACCTAACGAAACGGGACAGTGACTTGGAAAAGGAACTACTGGAGTTTGAAAAACTCTACACTGATGCCGAGGAAAAGAAAGTGAAAACGCCAACTCTTAAAGTTAAAGCCACTTCTTTAGATTCTTCTGAAACGGTCAACTTATCCTTGCCACAAAAGAAGACTTTGGAGGTGCCACAAAACTCTGTGTCCGTGCCAAATACACCAAAGAGGCAATTGAAGAGGATATTAGCCCAAAAGAGTGTCAAACCTGATTTTATGGGTGGAAAAATGGGATACAATACTTTACAATCTAACGCGGAACACAGGCGTTTGTATATGAAAGGTCAGGATAGCGGCATTTTCTTGAGAGAAAACCATGCTTCCTTGATGCTATATCAGCCGGGCCCATCACGCATGGGCTCTCGAACGATGAGTTCCTTCGAAGAGAACGTCGTAGACTTGGAGAAAGGGCCAGAAATTAACATATTAGTAGCTGATAACCGATATCACACGGACACCGGGTCCACGCTAGGATCCAACTTGTTGAATTACAAGCAAAACTTAAGCGTATCCAGTACAAACTTGAAAACTCTCCCAGAAGGCGTGCCCTCTGATGATTTCGAACCTAACACGGAAGAAGAAAAGTTCGGAAAGAAATTGCATCGCAGAAACTCGAACCAAAGTCTTATGCTTAGTACGCACAGTTTACAGTCTTCCAATTGCTCTTTGAGTAGTGCGGGAGCGTCTTGTCACAATTTAGCTTCTGTACGCAACAGCGTATCGAATTTCAGTCTCAATTCTGATAATAGACAGAAGAAGTTGTCTCTAGAACGCCGTGACTCGAACGTTTCTTTAATGAACGCGGAACATTTGACACCAACTACACTAGTAATATGCTCTTCGAACACAAATCTTTCCGGAGAAGTGTCTAAAAATTGCCTTTTGCAAAGACGTGGCTCAAATAACAGTCTCACGCTAAACATCCAATCTTCGAACACGCTAAGTCGGCATTCGAGCAACAGTTCTCTAAATAAAGATGTGAAAATCGGGCAAAAGAAAGGCTTATTAGAGCGGAGGAGTTCCAACACATCTTTGACTCTGAACATTAACAACTCCAATCCTCAGCTGTCAGTTAATCGTGGACTAAGCATTTCGAATTACAACTTGAACGGGTCTACTTGTAATTTGAGCAGGTATAACAGCAATTACAGCATTGACAATGCGCCCGCGGAACCCAGGAAAGGGATCCTGGAAAGACGGAGCTCTAATACATCGCTGACATTGAATATACAACCGCAGGAACCCAGAGATTTGGAAATCGACGAAACTATGATCGAGCCGAAACTAAAAGATCTACCTCACAGGGATAAGCATAGAAAATCTTTAAGCACAGAGAATTTGATACCGAAATCTTACAAAACTCGCACGCGACTACGTTCCAATGAGAAAGGCGTCGGGTTTGGTTCGCACGATAACCTCTGGTCCACCTCCTACCACGAGCAAGACTATCCTCAGAACTTAACTTACGTATGTGGAGACCAGGAAAACGAGATAATTTATGCTTTTGGTCGTCAAGAAGACCCCAATTACCAAGCTGGCTTCATTAGAAACATAACGACTAAACCTTTGAGTCCTCAAAGCACTTCGGAAGACTTCAGATTGTATCTGGCTAACATGCAACATTTGCAGAATGCATCAAGCGTCTTATCCCGACAACAACTCAGAGATTTGAACGACGTATTTCAAAATGGGTACTCCAAAGTGAAATGCCACAGTAGCAACGAGGGCCAACATTGTTGTTCTGGAAGAGTGGAAGATTTGGCCAAAGACAATCCCCAGATGGTTATTCCAGACCCGGTACTCTCCCAGCCGTGTTCTGAATACCAGAAGATGTTGCTGAGGAATCTGCACCAGGAGTTCTGGGATATGCCGACCAATTTCCAGGAGAAACCTATTGTCTCTGGTTCCCATCCGAAGAATAGATATAAGACGATATTGCCGAACGAACATTCGAGGTTTATCTTGAGAGGGGATGCGGGGATGGGTGAAGGATACATCAATGCTAATTTTATTAAGGTGAGAGATCTTATTAAACTTTTAAAATTATTAAGACTTGCTAAATTTTTAATTTGTAACGCTGCTGAGCGAGAGCAATTATTGAAGTCAGACTTATTTTAAACGCGGCCGCAGCAACTTTAGTTGTTTGAAAATCTCTCAGGAACCTGACACCTTTCCGGGATAAAAGGTAGCCTGTCTCAAATTTCATCTAAATCCATTTAGTAGTTTTTGCTTGATTGAGTGACATAGATCCAAATTGTCACATTTATAATTATTAGTACGAAGTAGGCTAGAAGGATTATAATAGATTAGTACTTAGTACAACTTTAAATCTAAATCATTAAATATAACAGTACCACTTGTCTGTTATTGATTCAAGATAGCAAGTAGCACAATGTACTAAAGTTTTGGTAATTACATATTTTCGAGGACGCTGGGAGCTGTCTTTCTTGTTCAGTCACACATATTTATTTATATATATTTATATACATTGCAGGGGCACGAATACTCCAAAAACAGCTACATCGCCACCCAGGGTCCCCTCCAGAACACAATCTACGACTTCTGGTCTATGGTCGTCCAAAACCATTCCCAATATTACAACCGGAAGGCGGCCGACGCTTCACCAACCATACAAAAGGTGGTTATGCTCACAAACTTCATAGAGAACAATAGACATAAGTGTGAGAAGTATTTCCCTTTAGAAGAGGGCGAGGAAATCTCCTTTGAAAACCCGGAAGAGATTGAATCCGATGAATCCACACTGAAGAACGCTTTCATAATAAAAAACTGCGGCATGGTTAAAAAAGACGGTTACACAATAAGGAAGTTAGATGTGAAACATTTGACGGAGTTCAGTGAAAGTGACAGTGTATTAGTGTACCACTATTGGTTCCACAATTGGGCGGATCACAAGTGTCCCAAAGACGTGAACGCTTTACTAAACTTGAGTTTGGACGTTTTAAAAGACTCTGTTTACAATTTCGACGAGAGGGACGTTGCAAAATCCGATATTTGTAAATGTGACAGTGCTAAGTCGGATTCTAAATTCGTTTTTCCCCCGCTAGAGGGTGCTAGTGTTAAGTGTGAAGTGACAGTGAATGTGGCAAAACCCGTGGATCTGTTGGATTTTTCCGTAGAACAGAAATCTCCTCCGACTATTGTGCACTGTTCGGCTGGAATCGGTCGGACCGGATGTCTCATTGCAATACTGAATGGTATTAAGCAGTTGACCAATGAACAGAAAGTTGATGTGCTCGGTATAGTTTGCAATATGAGGTTGAATCGTGGTGGCATGGTGCAGAACTCGGAGCAGTACGAACTGATACACAAGGTTCTGTGTTTGTTCGAACAAGCTTGTTTGCCTTCGTTATAGCTGAGTGTGTGTAGCTAATCTGACGGTTTAGTGCGATTAAGTATCTGTTAGGAAGAAGCTTGATCTAATCAAAGACATTTAATTTTTCTCGAAAAACACGTTTTTACTGATCTGGAATTCCCTGTATCTACCGGTGTGAAGATAGGTACCTAGTTACTGTAATTTTGCTAATAAACATCTGATAAAACAGTCGCCTACATACAACCCAAAAAGATATACATTTCAATACACGCGCGGCACTCAGTTGCTTTTAGAATTCTCGTAAATGAATCTTTTTAAGTTTTAGTACAAAAAAGATGTAACAGAAGGTAATCTACATACAAATTGCGCTATAGCAACGCACACATAGATATCCACAGAACACTGCCAGCGCGAGTGCTCCCCCTCCCCCCCACGATAACGGCTAACTAGAGCCTTGGTCCGAGTCTCAGAGACGCCCTCTAGTTGAGCCGACCCCCTCAGGTGCTCGTGGTGTAGAGGCTCCAGACGGAGAGGAGACTCCCCACGTGGGGAGATGCCATCCGTCTGGAATACCTCTAGAGGCACTAGCCAATTCTCGGCTTGAGGTCCCCTTAGGATCTCGCCGTCCCCAAACCCAGTAACGCTGTAAAGGTCATCTGCGACCAACAGCATATACATTAAAAAAAAAGCGTGAATGTCTTCCTCTTGAGACACGCGTCTGTGAATTTTTTAGTGCCTAATGGAGGACCAAAAAACAAGTTATTATATCTGTTCAGTAGACAGTTATTTGAATTCAACATTGAGCGGTAAATTGTTTTTTTTTTTTATATTAATAATATAACAACAACATTAAAATTGTTTTTTTTTTTAATTATTCTTGGTTTATATTTCCATTCTTTCTGTTTCATTCTCGGCAATAAATCAAACAGCTAGCCATGCCATTACCGCGCTAGCTTTTTTTGTACATAAGCCAATGTTGACAATGCTAGCGCGACGTAAGTCAAATACAAACATGAGATTACCTTCTGTTATATCTATTTCGTGGTTTTATTTTGTATCGCTATTTTAAAAATTTTGCTGGAATCTTGGATGCAATCATTAGTCGACTGACTCGACATAAGCTGCGTCGATATTTGCCTCTAATCAATCTTTTTAGTCTGAATTGTATGTTTATTACATCTAGAGTAAATCTGAAGTGTTCGGTAATTCCACTCAGATCAGTCTGATGTAAATCTGTTTGCTCGGACTCTTTTGAGCGATGAGAAGAAGTTAGAAATTAATCTAGGGTTGGTCGGGCCGTTCTGTAAAAATAATTTGACCGAACGCAGCTATAATTGCCATTAAAAAAAATATAATAGAAAGAGATCACTGGCAACCGGTTGCCAAGTCAAACATTAGTGATTATTTTCAGTATTTGCTGAACAAACAGTAAAAACAAAATATTAAAGACAACTTTGATTCGATCGAGTTTCAACCATACAGGTTCTCTACTTCATAATGGGAATTCTTAATATATAAATTCAGGGTATATTTATGATTTTGTAAAGAAAGTTATTTTATGTCTTTTTTAAACAAATTGTTTTAGGTATAATTAATACACAATGAAAATATATATAGGCGCTTGAAATATTTAGGTGTTTACGAAATGGAATTGGATGCTGTGATTTTTTTTTAAATGTAACATTATTTTATGTTTAGGACTTAACCTGTGAACTGTTTAGGAATACGAATCAACAGCGCATGTTCTTTAATTTAGCAGTTGTATGTAGTTCCATCCTTTTCTTTTGTCATACTGCAGAAAGGGAAAGATACAACACGATAATGTATAGCCATATATCAGATATGTAGGCTTTTTGAATATCAGAATGATATTTTTTAACTTTCTTGACTTTTTAAAATTTTATGTTTTCAAGGAAATTAAAGGCGGTAATCCTTTGGTCCCAACTAGGTTTGCCATTTCTACTATATAATATAGTATATTACTATATTAGAGAATCGAATACTATATTCCTGTTCTTTCTTAAAAATAAAAAATCATCATGGCGCAGAGCAGCAAAGAATATTCATTGAAAAAATAGAGTGAATATTCTAACCACAGACAGCTGTGAAACTACCTACTATATTTCATGGAAATAAAGTAGGTAACGCTTGTTCCAACAGCATTTGCAGTCATTAGCACCCACAATTTGTCAGTGTCCCTGCGTGGTGGGTCACGCCGTTTTCCTCTCTCCTCCTTAAAGGAGGCCTGTGTCCCATCATGATATTTTATTCATAACCTTGTATAACATTTGCGTTCCTATCAGATGACTCTGTGATATTAAACAAATTAAGTTGGAGAAACATACACTTAACTTTTGATATGACAGATGTAAGTTATCGCAGTAACAAACAAAACAGGACCTTGTGCATTATAGCAGTTAAGTTCAAATTGGAAAAATAACCATCCTAGATTAATTATTAAAGTTCAAAATTGTTATATAAACAAAATGTTTGATGGTGAGTGTAGCATAAACAGTTTTGTTCAGTATGAAAGTAGACCTTAAGACAAAGAATTTAAGGTTTAATTTACAAAAGTTTTAACTTTATGTATCATATGGACAGAAAAAGCTTTTATCTCTTTCTATTGTACAAAGGCTTTGTTTTTTAAAGTAATAGATCTCAAATCATTTTTTTTATCATATTTTATAACAAAAGTAAACACTAAAATTGAAGTTATTTTTTTTAATTTTTTTTAAGCATGTAACTGCTTAATGTTTAAATCTAAAAAAAATATAACTAGAAAAAAATCCACGTGGACCAGGCAGCAGACGGGACTCGAACGCTTGTTCCAACAGCATGCACTGACCACTGCCTTGCAGCTTAAGAATGGCTAGAGGAATTTCGCCGCGAGCATAATTGGTCAGTGCATTCGCCCAGATTGCGAAGGGTGAAGATTACGAGTCCCGTCTGCTGCCTGGTCCGGATTTTTTTCTAGTTATATTTCTTTAGATTAAAATTGAACCCAAGTATTCTATTATTTATTAGCTAACAAAACAAGTTACAATTAAATATTAAAAAAAAAGTAATTACAATATTGTAAAACCAAACTGTAACTCTAAATGTACAGGCATAATGTGTTAATTTTTATTAAAATAGAATTTAAACAATTACTCACAAATGAATTGACCCTTTTTTAAATAAGTATTAGGATATCTTTCCTAAATTCAAGAAGCCGACTACAAGAATGTAATGAAAAATAATGAAATATAAGCTTTCTACACTATTGAAATTTCAACGACCGACCACACACATCTTTCATACTTTTAACTTTTATAAATTAAAGTACTTCAAAGTTGTATCTTCAACCGTTAAGGTCGTTTAATGTAATAAAGTTACTTAATTATACATTTGTATTAATGTGGGCACAAACTTAAAGCATTCACTTAATTGGTTCCCTAACATACTGTAAAATAAAAACTGTAAATGCTTCTTTTATTGTTATTCAATATTAATCGTATCATTGTTTCTTGCTCATACAAACAAAGCTTCTGTATATTAGAAAGAGCCGGTACGATGAAACTGTGCATACACCCTGAATAGTCTAAATTGATATAATATCTTATAAATTATCAAACATTTTTATTTATTATGGAAAATATTACTATTCTCATATTATTTAAATATACTAACAACACTGCGCTGTGAAATTGTATAATTACCCGAGATAGCAAACAGGTTTATATCCCATTGCTATATTAATAAATAAGTCTTGTAACGCGCTAATCTGTGGTCTTACCATAGAGCGGCCTTTGCGATCCTCGCTCGTGATTGGCGGATACGAATTTGCCGCGTGAACCACGTGACCGCGTGGCGCCCAACGTGGGGCCCATAATCACTATAATACACACACAAAATGCCCACTATAATACACACTCTTCGTTGTATTAAACATTTTATTTTATAAAAACTCGGGTTACAATTAGTAAAAATGGAAAAAATTTGTTGGACGCAATCTCATTTCAACCGCTCGTCATTATCGCACGCGGTCTGTTTTCACGCGGCAGATTCGTATCCGCCAATCACGAGCGAGGAACGCAAAGGCCGCTCTTTGGTAAGACCACAGATTAGCGCGTTACAGTCTTAAAATGTTGCAAATTTTTAATGTTGGTAACTTATGAACTGTGACTGTTTTTACACCAAAAAATAAACAATATCACAGTGTTAAAAGTAAACTTAGGGTGCGATCCCACTGAAAGCTGTCAACTATTAGAAAGTGAGCTACTAACTATTCATACTCTAATAAGTCACATTCAAAGTAAAACTAAATATATAGCTTATTTATTTGAAGCTCTTACAAGTACTTATTTAAGTCGAAAAACTACGCCATCGTTCCCAAATCTACGGCGGGAGACCTTGTACTGAGTAGAGCCGGTAAGAAACTCAGCAAGGGCTGGCTTTTGCTTTCTGTTATTTTACGGTGTGCTACGTACCATGATGGTTCAATACCAATATTGGTAATTGCTATTTTTTTAAGTTACATTATGATACCAATATTGGTAATTGCTCTTCAATACCAATATTGGTACTTGCTATTTTTGTAAGTTACGAAATTGCTAACTTACTCAAAACTTTAGATCAGATTGTAGCTCTTGTTGAACGACAATAAAGCTCATAATTGCATGTCTAATAATTCACAGTGGAATAGCACCCTAAATAATAAAGTTTTATTATTAAACTTACTAATATTAAAAAGAGAGAGTGGAAAAATCTCGCAAGATATGTAGGTTTAAAAATATCATATACATATTGTAATGCCATCCCCCCCCCCTCCCCAAAGTAGATAAATTTATGTATGATGTGTACTAAACGTAATATGTTATAATAAATTATTTATTTTGCACAAATTTTTTGATAATAGTTTTAATTATTATTAATTGTGACTTGTATAGTAAATAATAAATAATTATGTTAGTGTAGTTTATGAATAAATTAATTACTTGTTCATATTTTATTCGGGACTATGAGTGATGTTGTGTAAGTAGATAGAGAAATAACGCATT